GGGGGGGGGGGGTTCGTGTGGCTGTAGCCCTCATTCTGTAACCTGGAGGGTAGAAGCAGTTTCCTTCCTAGGAAAGGCCTCTCCCTTCTGCCCCCCCACTGCAGCAGAGCTGGGAAGAGGTGGCTGGGAAGCCATTACTGTAAGGGGGTGGGGCAGAGCCATAAGATTGTGAACTTGCCTCCTCTGCCCAATATGCCCCGGCAGAGCCTGGTAAAGCCAAAAACACAGTGCAAAAAGGGAGTTGCTCAGGGAGCTTGCAAAACCAGTTCACCACCAGTCACATCCCCCAGCATAGTAGTCATGCCCCATAACTGAGGCAAGCTGGTCAGGGGAGACACCCAACATCTCAGTGGGTACATGGCGTTTTCCTTGACCTAAGCAATGCCACTCCACCATGATCCCAGAGGCATAAATAGTACAAGTAATACAAAAAAAATAACAACCATGTGCTATAACTATCTATGGGAAAAGAAAGTAGCCTGCCTACTAACCTGCTGAATTGTTGAGAGCAAAACAGTATCTAAACAAGAGACCTCTACCGCAAATGCACACACACAGAAACAATCCATCAAATACCATGAGCAACCAAGGTAACCTGGGAGCACAGAAAGAAAATAAATAAAAATCTCCAGCAAACAAACTCAAAGGCACAGAAGACTGTGGTTTCAGTGACAGAGAATTCAAGATTGCAGTTATGAAGAAAGAAAAGCAGTTCAGTGAGCTCAGGAATAAAACTAATGCACAAAAGGAGCGCTTTGCCAAAGAGATTCAAACTATAAAAAAGAAATTCCGGAGCTGAAGAACTCACTAAATGAGATGAAGAATGTACTAGGGAGCATTGGAAACAGAGCAGACCAGGTGGAAAAGAGAATTATCAAACTTGAAGACGGAACCTAGAAATGACCCATGAGGAAGAAGAAAGAGAAGAGTTAAAAATTTAAAAAATGAAACTCTCTGACCCCATTAGAAAGAGCCACATAAGGGTAAGAGGCACAGTACACCAGACAGAGGAGGGAGCAGAGATCCTACTTAAAGAAGTAACTGAGGAGAACTTCCCAAGCCTGTGGGAAGAACTAGACTTTAGGATAGCAGAAGCTAATGGACACCTAATTAATTGTATCAATGCAGAAGACCTTCTCCAAGACTCATTTTATTCAAACTGTCAAAAATTGACAAAAAATTCTTAAGGCTGCCAGGGAACATAAAGACTAACCTACAAAGGAAACCCCATTAGGTTATAGTCACCAGATTTTTCTGTAATGTTTTCAGTAAAAACATTATAAGACAGGAGAGAGCAAAAAGAAAACATTCAAAATATTGAAAGAGATGAACCATCAGCAAAGGATAAGATATTCAGCAAAGGGATCCTTTAGCCATTAAAAAGAAATAAAGGCTTTCCCAGACAAACAAAAGCTGAGAGAATTTACCACCACAGGACCTGCATACAAGAAATGTCAAAAGGAGCTCTTCTGCTAGAAACAAAAGTATACAAACTCTGAATAAGATGACTGACAGATAGAAGCCNTAAAAAGAAATAAAGGCTTTCCCAGACAAACAAAAGCTGAGAGAATTTACCACCACAGGACCTGCATACAAGAAATGTCAAAAGGAGCTCTTCTGCTAGAAACAAAAGTATACAAACTCTGAATAAGATGACTGACAGAAGCAGGGAACTGAAAATCTATTTCAGAATAGGTTAGTAAATAATTATAACATAAAGGTTAAAGGGGAAAAAGGGCATTAAAGTAAGTATAACTACTGCAATTTGGTAACAAAGGCACTAACATAAAGAGGGATAACTTGTGACAAAATCATAAAAGACGAGGAGGAGGAGAGGACTGGGCAGGTCCAGGTGACTGAAGAGGCAACTAGAAGAACAAGGACTATTGTGTGTAGGTAGGGGACATCTTACACAATCCTAATGGTAACCACAAAACAAAGTCCAAGGCTGAAACAAAACATTTTTTCTTATATACACCTTTATTGATTTTAGAGAGAGGAAGGTAGAGAGAGAGAGAGAGAGAAACATCAACAATGAGAGAGTCATTGATCGGCTGCCTCCTGCACGCCCCCGAATGGGGATCGAGCCCGCAGCCCGGGCATGTGCCCTCACCGGGAATCGACCTGCGACCTCCTAGATCCTAGGTCGATGCTCAACTGCAGAGCCACACCAGGCTGGGTGAGACAAAACATTTAAAAAAAGAGGAAATGGAGAAGAAAATCATAGAAACCTGCCAAGCAGACTTACAACGGAAAACAAACAATGGCGATACAGAGCAAGAAGAAAACAAAAGATAAAATAGCTGTAGTACATCTTCATATATCATTAATCACCCCAATTATAAATGGACTTAATTCACAACCAGAGTAGATGTATGGATTAAAAAGCAAGACCCAACTATATGTCACCTGCAGGAGACTCAGCTCAATTACAAAGACAAACACAGGCACAAAGGAAGGGGTGAAGGCGGTACTTCAAACAAATGGCATCCAGAGAGAAGTGGGTGTAGCAGTCATTATGCCAGACAAAATGGATTTCAAGATAAAAAAGGGTAACAAGAGACAGAGATAGACATTTTATAATGATAAAGGAGAGAATTCATCAAGAAGACATAACACTTATTAATATATATGCACCCAACCTGAGAGTACCAAGATACATAAAGCAATTACTAACAGACCCAAAGGGAGAAACTGACAAAAATACAATTACAGTAGGGGACATGAATCCCTCATTGACAGCAATGAATCGATCATCTAGACAGAAAGTCAATAAGGAAATATTGGCCTTAAGTGACGCATTAGATCAAATGAACTTAGTATTTATAGAACTTGCCATCCCTAAGTGACAGAGTGCACATTCTTTGCAAGTGCACACAGAACATTCCCAAGGAGACACCATATGTTGGGTTACAAAACTAGTGTCAATAAATTTAAGAAGACTGAAATCATACCAAACATTTTCTGACTATAATGGTATAAAACAAAACTAACTACAAGAAGAAAGCTGGGGAAAAGCACAAACGTGTGGAGATCAAACAACACGACACTAAACAACTATTGGGTCAAAGAAGAAACAGGAGATCAAAAGATACATAAAGACAAATGAAAGTAAAAATACAACATACCATAATTTGGGGGATGCAGCAAAAGCAGTACAAAGGGGGAAGTTTATAGCATTACAGGCATACCTCAAGACACAAACAAAAAATCTCAAATAAACAACTTAGCATTCATTACACATTTAAAAACTAGGAAAAAAAAGTCCAAGGTGGTGGCAGCATAGGAGTCTGAACTTGACCCCTCCCATGAGCACACTCAAATATACACATACACTGTATACAGAACAACTCCTGCAAGACAGCGAAGGGCTTAATGAACAACTTCTGAACAACAAACAAAGAGACCAAATAGAGAAGGCTGGCAAAGTCACAGGAGCTGCAGGAACTCTACGGGCAGAGAAGCCAGTGAATAGTGAATGCCTTACGGCAGGTGGGATCTCTGTTCAGGTGCTTTGGCTTGGCTGCAAAATCACAGCAGCTTTCCCAGGTCTGCTGCCCAGTCCTTTTGCCTCCCAGCAAAGGGAGCAAGCAGAAACAACAGGGTGGTACCACTTACACCTGGCCTCCCTGCTGGGCTCCAACTGGCTTCCCAAAACTAGCTGGCACTAAAGCCTACACAGAGGTCACTTCTACATATGACCACTTTCTGTACAACAAACAAGAGAGACTGTATAGAGACGTCTGGTGACCCACTGGAGCTCTCTGGAAACTGCAGGAATTATCCGGGGTTGGAGGTGCCAGTGAGCACTATTGTTTACACCCCCTCTGCCTCCACAGGGTGGGCAGGAGCTCTGTCCAGGTGTGCTCTGGCCTACCAGCAAGGTAGCTGCAGAGTGCACTTGAACACATCACCCCAGCCCATTTCAGCCCCAAACAAAGGGAGCAAAAAGGATCAACAGGTCATTACTACATGCACCTGGCCTCCCCACCTGGAGTCATTTCAACTCAGTGGGCCAGTGGCCAGGACACCTTACACACATGTTCGGCTCCTCCCAGCTGACCAAAACCACCTGGCAAACACAGCGTCCACAGAGGACCCTTGTACATAAGGCCACTTTTTAAAGACTGGGAGAGATAGCTATTTTGTATAATTCATATAACAAACAGACAGCTAAACAAAATGAAAAGATAAAATATCTCTCAAATGAAAGAATAAGAAAAATCTTCAGGGGAAAAAAATCCCTAAGGAAATGGAGATAAGTAATTTGCCTGATAAAGAATTCAAAGAAATGGTCTGAAGAATGCACACCAAACTTGAGAGTGGAATTGGAATACTTAGAGAAAACTTCAACAAAGAGATAGAA